TTTTGAGATGGAGTCTTGCTCTGTTGCACAGGTTGGAATGCAATGGCACAATCTCAGCTCACTGCAACCTCCGCCTCCCAGGTCCTGGTTCAAGCAGTTCTCCTGCCTCAGCCTCCCGAGTAGCTGAGATTATAGACACACGCCACTGTGCTCAGCTAATTTTTGTATTTTTAGTAGAGACAGGGTTTCACCATGTTGGCCAGGCTGGCCTGGAACTCCTGACCTTGTGATTCGCCTGCCTCAGCCTCCCAAAGTGCTGGGATTATAGGCGTGAGCCACCCCACCCTACCCATTTACTCAATTTTTGTAAACAAAGGGGCTTCAACTTGAGAGGTTATATGGACAACTTAGAGAAGAAAAATTATTCTTAATTTTCTTACTGCTATTTGACATTAGTTGCTGTTATGTAAAGTGATCCTGATAAACGCAACCTTTAAGAGTGCATTTTTTAGTTTCTTTAAGTCCATTAATTTCTTTTGTAAATAATATTTCATGTATTTATCATGTACTCATTCTTGATCAGATGTATTTGTGATTTAAACAGGGATAAGTTTAATGAATAGATAATATGATCCCCTGGGACAGGGGAAAGCCCAGGGAGCCATGTAGGTGAGCTCAAGGTTATGAGGGAACGAATATATCAGAGGAGGAAGAGGGAAAGCGAAGTGAGATAGACGGGAAGATATCTGTGGTAATAGCATGTTCCTTTAGAGCACAATGAATATGTGTCTTTAGACCACAAATTTGTGTTTTGTTTTTTGGTGTTCTTATTTTTTTGCTTTATCTTTAGACGTGTGTACGATTTATTTCTAACTTGTTTAATCTTATTATCTAATTAGAAAAGCTATTTTAAAAGAAGCTTTTAAAGAATAAAAAGCTTTTATCTATGTGCTGAAGTTGTAACAAGGATGAGAGAGGCAAATCTGACACGAGTGCAAATAATCATTACATTTATGAACTATAAAAGAATCTCTTTTTATCTTCTATCTTTTTATCTTAGAATGAGCTCTAGACTAGAAGTCACAAAGGTTGAGTCTTAAAGTGATCACTTAGTAACCATTTGTGACCATTGATCTCTCTCAAGGATTCTTACTTGAAAAAGAATGAAGCATATAAGCATATGTACATGTTTTTAAGTTTTGAATAAAACATTCTGGAGTTGCTGATTTATTTACTGTATTTGTTTTTTTTTACACAATACCCCTTCCTTTAATAGCCTTAAAAGTCAGAGTCTCCATTAGTGATGTAACAAGTTAGTGCCAAATCTCCTTCTCTGATGGGGAGTAATGATAATAGACTCTCCTTTTAAGCTTGCTGTACATTTTACACTTCATTCTTTCAGTAAAACTAATTGCAGGGCTCTGATACACTTTTTTTTTTTTTTTTTTTTTTTTAGATTTTCATTTTGTTGCTCATGCTGGAGTGCAGTGGCTCAATCTTGACTCACTACATCATCTCCTGGGTTCAAGTGATTCACCAGCTTCAGTTTCCCGAGTAGCTGGGATTACAGGCGTGCCAGGCTGAGCTAATTTTTGTATTTTTAGTAGAGACGGGGTTTCATCATGTTGGCCATACTGGTCTTGAACTCCTGACCTCGTGATCTACCTGCCTCAGCCTCTCAAACTGCTGGGATTACAGGCATGAGCCACAGCGCCCAATCCTCTCATACATTTCTTTTTGTGTCTTTGTCTATGCATTTAGAAAATATAGCTGATATGCCTTATATAGAATTTCTATCCTAACCAGATGTTTTTATCTAATATCAGAAGTAACATGAGAAATTTTATAAGTACATGTCGCATAATGGCTAAATGAAAAGTCTAAGGGAATTTTAAGATACCCTTATAACAGCTGCAAAAAGAATAAAAGATCTTGGAATAAATTTGATAAAAAATGTGAAAGATTGCTATGAAGAAAACTTCAAATAATAAGATAATAGGTGGAGCCAGGCGCAGTGGCTCATGCCTGTAATGCCAGCACTTTGGGAGGCTGAGGCAGACTATCACAAGGTCGAAGATTGAGACCATCCTTTTTTAGTAGAGACATGGTGAAACCCCATCTCTACTAAAAAATACAAAAATTAGCTGGGTGTGGTGGTGCATGCCTGTAGTTTCAGCTACACAGGAAGCTGAGGCAGGAGAATTGCTTGAACCCAGGAGGGGGAGGTTGCAGTGAGTTGAGATCGCGCCATTGCACTCCAGCCTGGCACCTGGCAACAGAGTGAGACTGTGTCTCAGAAAAAAATAAAAAAGGGAATAGGATGACTTGAATATTTGAGATAGAAGAAATAGGAAAACATTGGAAATGAAGATTAGATTGACAGGGGAGAGCTGAGTGAGGACTAGTCCTACCAAATATAAGAATAGGCAGAGCAATGGAACAGGATAGAGTCAATATGCATGAGGAGAATTTAGTGTATTATAGAGGAGGCATTTCAAATAAGGTGGATTATTTGATACACGGTGTTGGAGGAACTTGGTAGCCCTATGGAATAGAAACTTCCTACCTAGCTTCATAAATCAAAGTTAATGAATTCACAAGCCATAAATTTAAACGGTGATAAGTTTCACTGTGTATGAATAAAGAGCTTTTGTATGGCAACAAAATATGAACACTAAGACTTCAATGTGGGAGAAGAGATTTCCCCTACTTATAAGTAACCAATTTCCCAAATAAGTAAAAAGTCCCCATAAATAAGTAAAAAACCCACAGGCAAAGTCGGCAAAATATATGAAGAGAGTATACAGGAAAAGAAATACACAATGTAGAATCTTTTTTGAAATATTAAAACTTCATAATAAAAGAAATTCAAATCAAAACTAATGAAGTTATTGCGTTTTTCACCTATTAGATTGGCAAAGATCAAGGAGTTCGATAATATACTACATTATCATGGGCATGAGAAACCAAGTACTCTTGCACAGTATAAATGATGACAATTTCTTTGCAGGGGAGCCTGGTGATAGCTATTAGATTATAAAAGTATATTTATTCTAATGTCACTTTTACAGATTTATCTTAGATAGATTCTTAAGCTCACAAAGATGTTTATATAGTCAGTGTAGCAGTGTAGTAGGGAAAAAAAAGGCAGTGTAAAGGTTCATTAATAGTAGACTGTAAATAAAGTTGTAGTACCCTTCTATAAAGGGGCAAACCCACACATGTACCAATGTGGTACCACATGAGAAATCTATTGGTTTTTTTTTTTTTTTTGAAACAGTCTCACTCTGTCACCAGGTGCCAGGCTGGAGTGCAAACCCACACATCCACACATGAGAAATCTATTGGATTTTTTTTTTTTTGAGACAGAGTCTCACTCTGTTGCCAAGCGCCAGGCTGGAGTGCAGTGGCACAATCTCGGCTCACTGCAACCTCTGCCTCCCAAGTTGAAGGGATTCTCCTGTCTCAGCCTTCTGAGTAGCTGGGATGACAGGCATCCACCACTGCACCCAGCTAATTTTATGTATTTTTAGTAGATGCAGGGTTTCACCTTGTTGGCCAGGCTTGTCTTGAACTCTTGACCTCAAATGATTTGCCCACATTGGCCTCCCAAAGTGCCAGGATTACAGGCCTGAGCCACCACAGCTATTTGGATTTTTTTTTTTTTAACAGAAACAACAAGGTACAGAAGAGAATAGGTAGTACTATTACTGTGTGTGTGTATATATATATACACATTTGAACCCCTCTGGAAGAATATGTAAGAAATTGGAAATAGCAGTTACCTCTGGGTAGAGGAAATGAACAATAAGGTTGGGAGTGAGGGAGGCCTATTTTTCTTTTTTTGAGACAGAGTCTCTGTCACCCAGGCTGGAGTGCAATGGTGGGATCTCTGCAACCTCTGCCTCCTGGGTTCAATCGATTCCCCCTCCTCAGCCTCCCAAGTAGCTGCTACTACAGGTGCAACCACATCTGGCTAAGTTTTGTATTTATAGTAGAGATGGGGTTTTGCCATGTTGTCCAGGCTGGTCTTGAACTCCTGACCTCAAGTGATACACCCGCTTCACCACCATACCTGGCTGATTTTTGTATTTTTAGTAGAGACAGGGTTTCGCTATTTTGGCCAGGCCGGTCTTGAACTCCTGTCCGCAAGTGATTGGCCCACCTTGGCCTCTCATAGTACTGGGATTACAGGCGTGAGCCAAATAAACTCTGAACTTGTACTGTTAAAAATTGTTTTTAACCGTAACCCTATATAACTTATTCAATTAAAAATAATTTAGTAGTAAATTATTGCAAAATGTTATTTAAAATAAGGTAACCATTATTTGAATCTTTTTAAAAGACATAATCCTCCAGATCATCTAATGAACAAAGTGTTACTGTTATTCTTAGCTATTCTGAATAAATCTTTTCATAAAGGGTTTATTGAGATATAATTTATATAGCTAGTGCTCGACTTATGACCACGATTGGGACCGGCAGGCCGGTCGTAACACGATTTTGTCATAAGTTGAGTAGGCTATATGCACAGTTGAAATGGTGCACGCGGAGATGGTAGTGCTACCGGAAGCTGGTCCGCACTGTTGTACGCCCAGCTGGGCAACGTTTGCGCTGCCAGACGCTGAGCAGTCGTGGCTAGCGATTGTGGTTGTAAAGTCGAATGGTTGTAAGTTGCATAGGTCATAAGTCGATCAATACCTTACCCAGTTCACCCATTTAAAGTGGCTTTTAGTATATTCACAGAGTTATGCACCATCACCACAATTTTAAAAACATTTTTATAAACCCCCCCCAGGAGAAAGGCCATACCCTTTTTTTTTTTTCTTTCCCCCCTGAGGTGAAGCCTCACACTGTCATCAGGCTGGAGTACAGTGGTGCAATCTCAGCTCACTGCAACCTCCGCCTACCCATTTTAAACAATTCTCCTGCCTCAGCCTCCTGAGTAGTTGGGACTACAGGTGTGCACCACCATGCCCAACTAAGTTTTTGTATTTTTAGTAGAGACGGGATTTCACTATGTTGGCAGGCTGGTCTTGAATTCCTGACCTTGTGATCTGCTCACCTCAGCCTCACAAAGTGATGGGATTACAGGTGTGAGACACCATACCCAGCTAACTCCATACCCTTTTAAATTTACCCCCTAATTCCCCTCTCAAGTCCACCAGCTCCTAAGGTAACTGCTCATCTGTTTTGTTTTTTTTTTTT